CATGGGATGTGGGATATGGGATATAGGATATGGAATGTGGGATATGGGATATAGGATTTGGGATATGAGGACATGGGATGTGGGATATGAGGCCATGGGATGTGGGATATGGGATATAGGATATGGAATGTGGGATATGGGATGTGGGATATCGGATATGGAATATGGGATGTAGGATATAGGATATGGGATGTGTGGTCCTCAATGTCCCTTGGGTGTCCATCACCTCCTGCCTCCTCCAGGCCGTGCCCCCCTCCCCGCGTCGCACTGGGAGGCGCCGGGAGCCGCTCCGGGTTTACCAGATCCCGCAGCGCCGGGCGCTGACGCCGGAGCCGCCGCGGAGCCGGGGGGCCCCGGGGGACACCGAGGACACCGGTGGTGCCGGTGCGGAGGTGGCCGGGCTGCGCGCGCACCTGCAGCGCCTGGCGGGGATCCTGCGGGACGTGAGGCGCCAGAACAGCGCCAAGGACGAGCAGCTCCGGGCGCTGCGGGACCGCGTGGGGCGCATGGAGCGCGCCCTGCCCCTGCCCGCGGTGAGCGCCCCACGGGCACCCCACGGCCCGAGCCCAGCCCCCCCGCACCCCCGTAACCCCCCGTGTTCCCCTTTACCCCCCACAGGACGACGACGACCCCGACCCGTCCCCGTCCCCCCCCAGCCCGGCCGCCCCCTCCCCGTCGCCGCCGCCCTCGCCCCCCTCGCGGCTGTCGCTGCTCATGCAACGGGACCCCGCGTTCCGGCGCGGCCGCCTCCGCTGGCTGCGGCAGGAGCAGGCGCGCCTCTGGGGGGCGCTACAACCGCCGGCGCTGCGGCCACGCCCCCTGCAGGACCCCGCCCGCCTGCGCTTCCCCTTTAAGAGCAACCCCCAGCACCGGGCCACGCCCCTCGCCGAGGACACGCCCACGGCCGCCGCGGACACGCCCCCTCCTCACGCCGAAGGGCGCCCCCTAAGCGGGAGGACCCCGCCGCGCATCCGGCGGCAGCGCTCGGCGCCGGACCTCAAGTCGCGGGGCCCCCACGCTTAGAGATGGTCCCCGGGAAGGGGGGGGCCCAATGAGGGGGAGGTGCTCATTAAGGGGTGACCCCTAATTAAAGAGGAAAAGCTCATGAAAGACCCGACCTGTCCCGCGCCAGCCGGTGGCCACGCCCCCGCGGGAAACCACGCCCACTTTCGTGGCTGTGAGGGGGTGTGGAGGACTCTCCACGCCTTTTCTCCCATATATGGCAACAACCCCTGGGGGCGTGGCACGCGGAAACACCGCCCCCCGCATGTGGCCCCGCCTCCTTCGCCATTAAAGGACATAGCGGGGACGTGCCTTGGAGAAGACTCCGCCTCTTGGCTCTACCCTGCCCGTTTCGCCATTAAAGGGCATTGGGGAACGTGGCTTGCCGAGGCACCGCCCCCCTTGCCATTTAAGGAGGTGCAGCTGGTAGCGTCACCCCGCCCCTTTCTCCATTAAAGGGAATACGGGTGGGAAGCTCCGCCCGTCTTCCCACGCCCCCGCGTCTTCCCCATTCAACCACAGCGCGTTGGGGGCGTGTCTGCCCTTGTCTCCGCCCCTTTGTGGCCGTGGCCTCGTTCCGTTCCCCCCCCGTCGCCACTCGGCGCCATGAGCCGGGTCCCGGTGCTGCTCCCGCTGCTGCTCAGCGCCCTGTGCCCGGCCGAGGGGCAGGACCCGGCCCCCAACCTCACCAGGTAACGGCCCCCCCCTCCCCATAACCGAGACACCCCCCCCCATTCACCCCGGTCCCAGCTCCGGTAACCGGTTACCCCGTCCCCAGGCCCGTGTTCCCGTGCGGGGGGGAGCTCCGCGGCGAATCGGGCTACGTGGCCAGCGAGGGCTTCCCGCGGCACTACCCGCCCCACAGCAACTGCACATGGAGCATCACGGTACGGACACCCCGGGTCCCCCAGCCTTACCCCGGTACCCCCTGGTGCCCCGGGCGCGCTCACAGCGCCCGTGTCGTCCCCTTCCCCCGCAGGTCCCCGAGGGGCAAACGGCCTCGCTGTCCTTCCGGGTCTTCGACCTGGAGCCGGACGCCCGCTGCCGCTTCGATTCGCTGTCGGTGTTCGGGGGCTCCGGCCCGGCCCCGCCGCTCCTCGGCCGCTACTGCGGCACCTTCCGGCCGGGCCCGCTGCGGGCTCCCGGTAACCGGTTACTGCTGCGGATGGAGAGCGACGGGGCCACGGCCGGGAGAGGCTTCCTCGCCTGGTTCAGCGCCGGGCCCGGGCCGGGACACGGTGCGGGAATGGGAATGGGAACGGGAATGGGGGAGGCACTGCCGGCAGAGAGCAGGGACCCCCAATAGACCCCGACAGACCCCATGGACCCCGACCCCCCCAACCCTCGGGACCTTTTGTAGGGCCGCCCCAGGGACGCTGCCGCTTGGGGCTCCATCCCCCCCCCCTTTATTTGGGGAGTCCTGGCACTATTTTGATGGTGAGTACCCCCCCCCCAATTGGCTCCGAACACACCGGGAGGGGGGGGTCCTGCACCCCCAACTTCCCATTGCATGGCTCTGGCATCACCCCCCCCCCACAGGGAATCATTGTGGGGAGGGGGAGTTTGGGGGTCCCAGTGCAGAGCAGATGCCAGCGGTGCAGAGTAAAGGGGTGGGGGAAGTCGATTGTGGTTTGTGCCCCCCCCTCTTCAAATGGTTCCCCCTCTCCTTTTAGAGAATCAGTTCTGTGGGGGGCGCCTGGAGAAGCCCCAGGGGAGCCTGAGCTCCCCCAACTGGCCCGAGGAGAATTACCCCCCCGGCGTCAGCTGCACGTGGCACATCCGAGCCCCCCCTGACAAGGTCCGAAGGGGCCCGGCTTTGGGGGTTAAAGTGGGGGGTCCCGGCCATGGGTGTCAATGGTGGGGACCTGGCTACAGGTGTCAATTGGGGATCCTGTTTATGGGTGTCAGTGTGGGGATCCTGGCTATGGGAGTTAATGGGGGGGTCCTGGCTATGCGTGTCAATGTGGGGGTATGGGGGGTCCTGGCTATGGGTGTCAATAGGGAGTCCCGGCCATGGGTATTAATGGGGGGGTCCCGGCTATGCGTGTCAATGTGGGGCTATGGGGGGTCCCGCCTATGGGTGTCAATAGGGAGTCCCAGCTATGGGCATTAAGGCATTAATGGGGGGTCCTGGCTATGGGTGTCAATGGGGGGGTCCTGGATATGAGTATCAATGGGGGCTATGGGGGTTAATGGGTGTCAGTGGGGGGCTATGGGTGTCAGTGGGGGACTGTAGAGGGTCCCATTGCAGACGTTAAAGGGAGGGTCCACAGGTGGTGGAGCTGCGCTTCGGGAAGTTCGATGTGGAGCCGGATGCTCACTGCAGATACGATCACGTGGCCGTGTTCGACGGGGGCCGCTCTGACGATGCCCGCAGGGTGGGGAGGTTCTGCGGGGAGGAGACACCGGGGTGAGCCCCCCCAAAGGAGGGAGCCCCCCCAACCCCACCCTGGTCCCCTCAACCACACCCTGACCCCTCCCACCCCATCCTGACCCCCCAAACCCCATCCTAATGCCCCCTAACCCCTTCCTGACCCCCCCAAACCCCATCCTGACCACCCCAACCCCTTCCTGACGCCCCCCAACCCTCCCTGACCCCCCCGTGCCCCCCCCCAGCCCCATTGTGTCCTCGGGCCCAGAGCTCCTGGTCCAGTTCGTGTCCGACCTCAGCGTCACGGCCGACGGCTTCTCGGCCTCCTACGTCCTGCGGAGCCCTCCCGGAGCGCCTTCCCCGTCCCACCCCGCCGAAGGGGCCAAGGGCAAAGGGAAGCCCCCCCCCACCGCGGCCCCCAGCCCCAAACCGGGCACCGGCAGCGCCTGCCCCGAGCGGTGCCGCCGCGCGGGGTCGCTGCAGAGCAGCTTCTGCGCCAGCGACTTTGGTGAGGGCCCCCATAGGGGGTGATGGGGATGGGGACCCCTATAGGGGGGTCTGGGGGTGGTTGAAGCCCCCCCCCTCCACGGCGTTAATGGGGCCAGGGCTGTCTCTGGGTCCACAGTGCTGACGGGGACGGTGAAGTCGTTGTCGCGGGCCCCCCCCCAGGAGCAAGGCTGGGCCGTGGTCTCCATCCTGGGCCTCTACAAAGTGGGGGCGCTGGGGGTGCCCTCCCCGGCCAAGGGGGCCACCCTGCGCCTGCGCCTGCCCTGCCGGCTCTGCCCTGGCCTCAAGAAAGGTGGGTGCAGGACATGGCGGGATTCGGGGGGCGGGGGGTGTCCTTGTACCCCCTCAATCCTCACACCCACCCCCCCCAAAATCTCTTCCAGGCTCCAGCTACATCCTGATGGGGCGGGTGGGGGAGGACGGGGGGGCGCTGCTGCCCCCCGATGCCTTCGTGGTCCCGTTCCGGCCGCAGCAGCAGCAGGTCCTGGGCAACCTCAGCAAGCGGCCGTGCCGGGGCAGTGCCTGAGCCCCCCCCGCGGGCCCCCCCTTCCCTTCATGCAATTAAAGGGTGCAGACACAGACTCTGACCCCCCCCCCCGCTGCCACGTGGACGGGTCCGTTCCCCCCCCGTCCCCCCCCATTGGTTTTAGAGCGAGCGGCGCCTTTAAGAGTGGCCAAGGGGGCGGGGTTTGAGGTTTGGGGCCAAGGCGGGAGGGGGGCACGGCCACAGTGGGGAAAGAGGCGTGGTCTGCTTTTGGGAGGCGGGGCTTGCTTAGGAGAGGCCAATCAGAGCGTTAGGAGCGCCTTTCCTGCCGCTCTCTAAGCGTGATTGGGCGAATGCACACCAATCACATGCCTGCCTCCCGCCCCCTCAAATGCCATTGGCTGTGCGGGGCCCGCCGGAGTCGCGTTGCTAGGCGACCAGCTCTTTTCGTTCTTGATTGGTGGAGATGTGCTCTTCCCCTTCCCGCGCTGGGATTGGTTGCAACCGGTCAGCAAGCCCGCCCCTCACGCGCATGTTTACCTTTTGGCCACGCCCCCTCCCCTCCTCCCTCTCTCATTGGCTGCCGCTGTGGCCCCGCCTCCTCGCGGGCTCCACCTCCCCTGGCCGCAGCTTCCGGTCGCGCAGTCGAGCAGCGGCGGCCGCGGGGTGCGGAGCTCTGCCGCCATGGCGGCGGCGGCAGAGGCCCAACAGCTGCTGCCGCCGCCTCCGCTGCCCGGCGGGGCCGGCACCGAGCGAGCCCTGGAGGAAGCGGCGGCCTCCGGGACCCTCATCCTGGCCGGGCGCCGCCTGCGCTCCTTCCCCGCGGCTGCGGCTCGGCGCTGGGACCTCAGCGACACCACACAGGCCGGTGAGGCCACGCCCCCTCCCCGGTGGGGCCTGCACTACCCGTACCGGGGATGAGGGGGATCCCGGTTATTCCCGGTGCCCCCCATAGCCCCGGCGTGGCTCAGCGCAGCCGCGTGTCGTCCAACCCCCCCCATCCACCCCTTGGGCTGAACCTGCCCCGGGCCTTCCCCTTGGGCTTCCGGTGGCCCCAGGAGGTGCCGGGGCGGGCAGAGCCGGGCGATCCGGCTGCGCTGGTCCCTGTCCCCGGGGTCAGCGCCTTCCCTCACGGTCCTTGACCCGTCGGGTCCCCATTCCTGTCACTCCCCACCCGGGGCTGTCCCCATCCCTCCCGTTCTCTGCTGCCACCCGAGTGACCCCTCCCCGCAGACCTGTCCCGCAACCGCTTCGGGGAGGTGCCGGAGGCCGCCTGTCACCTGGTGGCGCTGGAGGGGCTGAGCCTGCACCACAACTGCCTGCGCAGCGTCCCCCCGGCCATCGCCAATCTCCAGGCACTCGCCCACCTCGACCTCAGGTCCTGCCCCCCCCCACCCCCCCCCAACACTTCCTCACCCCCCCCTCCCGTTAACCCCCCCCATCGCTCCCTGTGCAGCCGGAACCAGCTGAGCTCGCTGCCCCCCTGCCTCTGCCTCCTGCCCCTGCGCGTCCTCAACGCCAGCAACAACCGCTTGGCCCAGCTCCCGGACAACATCGGCGCCATGGGGGCCCTGAGGCAGTTGGTGAGCACCAAGAAAAGCGGGGGGACACTCAGGGACCAAGCCCCCCAGCTTTGTGTCACTGCTCCCCCCCATGCTCCCCAGGACGTGAGCTCCAATGCGCTGCGGGCGCTGCCGCCGGGGCTGGGGCAGCTGCGGGCGCTGCGGGACCTGAACCTGCGCCGCAACCTCCTCACGGCGCTGCCCATGGGTGAGTGCAGGGCACGGGGGGATCCCCCAATGATCCCCCCCAACCCCATTGATCTCTGTGTATGTGAGTGACCCCCCCCTCCCCAGAGCTGTCGGAGCTGCCCCTTGTGCGCCTCGACTTTTCCTGCAACCGGGTGGTGGTGATTCCCCGGTGCTACCGGCGCCTGCGGCACCTGCAGAGCATCCTCACCGAGCACAACCCCCTGCAGAGCCCCCCCGCGCAGGTGAGCATGGCCGGGGGGGACCAGACCCCTCCAAACCCCATCTGATCCCTTAACCCCCCCCCCGATTTAGATCTGCCTGAAGGGCAAAGTCCACATCTTCAAGTACCTGGAGGCCGAGGCTGCTGCCACCCGGGCGCCGCCCCCCGCAGGGTAAATGGGGGTCAAATTGGGTGCCCCCCCTTTCTCCCCACCATCCAGCGTGGTTTGGGGTCCTCAGCCTGGTTCTTGCCCCTCCACAGCCCCACAGAGGAGCTGAGCCCCCCCCGGCAGCGCCATGGCCTGGACTCTGGCTTCCACAGCGTGGACAGTGGCAGCAAGCGCTGGTCTGGCAATGAGGTGGGTGCCGGGGGGGGTTATTGGGCTGCTGGCGGGGGGTAACTGTGTGCCCCCCACCCTGATGTCACCCCGTTGTGCATTGGTTCAGTCCACAGATGAGTTTGCAGAGCGGCTGCTCTGGGGCAAGCGCTGCGGTGAGTGGGGGCAGCACCCCCATTACCCCAATAGGGCCCCCCCATTACCCCAGTGGGACCTCACCCCTTTCCTCCTCACAGGCAGTGACAGTGATGCTGAGGAGGATGAAGAGGACCCCCCCCCCGAGGTGACAGCCCTGACCCCACCCTTCCCTTGCCCCATACTGGGAGGGATGACCCCCAGATCCTGCCCCCCCCTCAATATAAGGACCATTATTTGTGTGTTCCGCTTTCACAGGGCTTGTTCCCAGGGAAGGCGCCTGGTGGCAGGTGTGTGATAGGAATGGGATGGGAATTGGGAAGGGAATGGGATGTGAATGGGAATTGGGACGGGAATGGGAATTGGGTTGGGAATGGGGGTAATGAGGACATGGGACTGGGATGGGATTGGTCAGGGAATGGGGGCTAAAGGGGGTTTTGGGACAGGAAATGGGGATGGGTTTGGGCTATGGCGGGGGGGACAGGAATGGGTTTGGGATGAGGGATTTGGGGATGCTACTTTCCTCCCCCACAGCCTCTCGGACCCAGGCCCCACCTCCCAGCCCAGGAGCACCCTGGTGAGTTCCAGGCCCCCCTTATTAGGCTCAACCCTTACTAACCTTCATTAATAGGGGTGTTAATTACCCCATTCCCTCTTCAATGCAGGTTCCAACCAAAGCCCCCCGCCCCCCCCGTGTTCTCCTACGCTCCCCCACCCATGCAGCGGTCTCCAGACCGGGTAACTCACAAGTGCCCCCCTCCTCGTGACCCCCCCTTGTCCCCGTCCCCCCCCCACTTTGTGACACCCATTTCCCCTACAGCCCCTCTGGACACCAGCGAGGGGGAGCTGATGGCTGAGATGAAACAGGTAAAGGGGAGGGGGGGTCCCCATTTCCCCCACCTTATTCACAATGGGAGGGGTTTGGACCCCCCAAACCCATGGTGGGGGGATTGCTTTAAAGGGGCCCCCCCTTGTCCTCCCAGAGCATTGAGTCGCTGCTGCAGCTGCACCTGGGCAATGAGGAACTGCTCTCCCGCCTGACCCAGTGCCTGCGCCCCCCCCCTACTGTGAGTGTCCCCCCCCAACACCCCCCCCCGCACTTCCAACACCCCCATGACCCACTTCTGCTCCCCACCCCCCGCAGCCCAAACTGAGCCCCACAAGAAGCCACCGGACCCGGGATCCCCAGCAGGTAAACTGGGGAGGGGGGTGTGTTAAGGGGATGGGAGGGGGGTTGTGACCCCCTCTCCTCATGTGCCCCCCCCACACCCCCCCTTCCCCTTCCCCCTCAGGCACAGCTGCTGCCCCCCGGGCTCCTCGCTGGCTTCGCCCTTTTCTACGGCGTGGTCATGGCACTGCTTTATGCTGGGTATCGAGCGCTGTTTGGGTGCTGAGGGGGGGACACACACGCCTATGGGCACTCCCACCCATGGGGACCCCCCCCGTAAACCCACAACTCCTCCCCTGCTCCATCGTGTGCCTTAATGAGGGAAACTGAGGCAGGGATGGGTGGAGGGAGGGGGAGCCTTAAATGAATGAGGGGGAACCCCCCCTTTCTTTATTGTAATTATTATAACGGTTATTATTCTAATTAATTATTAGAATTATTATTATAATTAATTATTTTAATTAAGATTTTAATGATAGAGATCCTCTTAAATTATATTTGCTATGTATTATATATAGACATGGAAGTGCTGTGTGAGTATTGGGGGGGGACCCAAGACCTGGCTCCTAATGGGTGGGGGGTAAATTCTGCCTTTCCCCCCCTGCCTTTCCTGCTCTTTTTGTTCATTTTTGCCCTTTCTGTAGCCAAAAAGGGACGTTGTGCCCCCCCACTAATGATGTCTCATTAACACCCCCCAATTATCACATCCCCCCACCCCCCCCCCAGGAGGTGTTGGATGAGCCCAAGCCTGACCCCTCCTCCCTCCCCCTTTGAGCCTCACCAAGGCCCCGCCCCCAGCACGGCCTCGGCGCTCGGATTGGTTGAGAGGGGTAAAGCGGCCGCCGCCATCTTGGTTAATGGAAGCCCCCGTTGCTGCCGTCCAAAGCACGGCGGCCGCCATCTTTATGGGAGGGCTGTGAGGCAGGGACGAAGCCAGGCGCAGTTTATATCGAATATATATTAGATATCGCGATAGCTCTGTCGTAAAAAGAGAACCTGGTCCCGGATGAAGGCGGGGGGCGTTCCCCGTGTCCCCCGAACCGCGGCAGTAGCAGCTATAGGAACGGGTTGGTGGCCGGGTGCTTGATGCCAATGGGGGCAGCCGGGACCATCTGGGGAGGGGGGAGCAAAGACAGGGTTTAGGGGCAGAAAAGGGGGTTCAGCGTCCCCTTTATTGCCCCCCCCCGACCCCCTCCTCACCACGAAGGGGTTGGTTGAGGCTTTGGCACCGTTGAAGCCACGGAAGGCTGAACCTGCCAAGGGAGCAGAGAAAGCGGCCGGGGGTCAGTGGGGGGGGGGATATATCACACCCCCCCCACACTGGGTGCTTACCATCAGCCTGCAGCGGCGGGGGGAATGCACTGGGAAGTGGGGGGGCGGCCAAAGCAGCACCTAAAGGGGGTAATAACGGCGGGTGGGAATCAGAATTGGGCGACCCCCAAATCCCGTTGTGGGGAGGGGGAAGGTCTCACACTCACCATCGCTCTGGAAGGGGTTGGTGCAGGGCCGGGGGGGGGCCACAAAGGGGTTGGTGTAGCCTGAGGGGGGGCACAGGGGTCACCCTGGGGTCCCCCTCACTGGGGGTAGCCCAAGGGGGGGTGAACCCCAACTTACCCCCATAGGGTAGCGGGGGGGTGTGCAGGGTCCCGAAGGCGCTGTTGGGAAGGATTGGGGGGGGGTGAGCTTCTGACCCCCAATAATGGGGGGCAATGGGGGGGTGTCTCTGTACCTGACTGAAGCTCCGCCCCCTGTGGGCGGGGCAGAGGTGACTTCACCCCCTGCAGCACTGCCCCCTGTGGGTGGGAGGAACAGACACAGCCATGGTGGGGGTCACTCCCGAAGTATTCTTAAGGAAGTGGGGGACCCCAAACCCCCTCCCCAGGCCCCCATAGATTGCCAAGGGACCCCCAACTCCCCCTCCATGCACTTATGGCCCCCAAAAATGCGGGGCCAGCTCCAAAGGCATTGACACTGGGGAACGCAGTGCAGGGCTGGGCTGGGCCTAAGGGGGGGGACGGGGGCGTCCCAGGTCACCCCCACGCCCCTCCCCTGTCCTTGCCCTATGGGCAGGACCCCCTGAGCTGCCCCCCTCCTCCAGCACTCACCAGGGAAGGCGGCAAAGGGGGGTGCTGGTTGTGGGGTGGCAAAAGGGTCCCCCCCGATGTCAGCTAAGAGGTCGGTGCTGGCTTTCCGGGTCCGCTGGGGGGGGCGCTGCGGGGCAGGATGGGGCTGGGGGGGAATGGGGTGTCAATGGGGTGTTAATTGGAAGTCAATGAGATGTTAAGGGGGGGTCTCACTAGAGCGTTAAATGGCTGTTAATGGGTTGTCTATTGTGGGTTAATAGGACATTAATGGGGTATTAATTTGGTGTCAATGGGGTGTTAATGTTATGTCAATAGGGCATTAATGGGTTGTTAATAGGGTGACAATGAGCAGCCCCCTCTTTCAGCCCCCCCCTTGTCACCTGCTGCAGTGTCCCAGCATCCCCGAGGAGTGGCTGGGAGGAAACCACAGCGCTTGGGGGGGGTTTGGGGGCTTCTGGTGCCACGTACCTATGGGGGTAAGGTATCAAAGGTGAATGAAGGGGGCGGGGGGGATCTCCAAACGTGCTCCCCCCGCCATGGTCCGTACCAACGCTTCCTCTCGTATTTATCCTGCAGGAATTCCTTCAGGCTCTGGGGGTCGCGGACGTCTGGATGAGGTGAGGAGCGGGGGTCGAAGGAGCCGAGCCAGACCCGGTGGCAGGCCTGGGGGCACGGGGGGGTCACACAGGGACAACGGGGGGGCAGGGGACCCCTGTGACCCCCCCCACCCCCATGTCCTCAGCTGACCTCGTTGCCGTGGGCTTGCAGGAACAGGACCTCAGCCTCAGTGAAGGTCGTCATGGAAATGGACTTGACGCGGTGGGGGGGGTTCAGCCCCCGCCTGCAGGGAGCCCCAAAACCAGGGGGTATCACCCCAGAAATCAGGGGTGTGGCACCAAAATCAGGGTTTTGAACCCAAAACCAGGGGTTTTATGCCCCAAAATAGGGGTTTCACCCCAAGAGTCAGGGATGTGGCACAAAAATCAGGAGTTTGAGTCCTAAACCAGAGGTTTTACGCGAAAAATGGGGATTTCACCCCAAAAATCAGGGTAGTAGCACCAAAATCCGTGTTTTCAAAACAACACTAGAGTTTTTATCCCCAAATACAGGGGTTTCTCTTCAAAAATAAGCGATGTGGCATCAAAATCAGGGTTTTGAACCCCAAAACAAGGGGGTTTATCCACAAAAATGGGGGTTTCACCCCCAAAGTCAGGGATGTGGCAAGAAGATCAGGGTTTTGAACCCAAAATCAGGGTTTTCACCCCAAGACCCCGCCCCGTGCTCAACTGCAGCCAATCAGCAGCCGTCGTTCTCTCCGCGAAAGCCACGCCCCCTCCTGTTTGGCCCCGCCCCTTACGTACAGCGTAACACCGCGCCCCCTGCGCCGGCCCCGCCCCTCTCGCCGCCCGGTCCCCGCTCACAGCGCGCCGGAGCAGCCGGTGCACACGAGGCTGCCCACGGTGATGTCCACGTAGGTGACGCCGCGCTGCCCGCACTCGAAGCAGCGCCGGTTCCCGGGGGCCGCGCTCACCACGTCCCGCACCCTCCGGCTCCAAACCTCCGCTTCCGCACCGCGGGACGCGCTCCCCCGCCGGGACCCGGGGCCGCCGCCTCCTCCCGCCCCTCCGGGGCCCGCTGCGGGACCGGGACCGGGACCGGGGCTGCCGCCCGCCGCCATCCTCCTGCGTCCGCTCGCCCGGCGGCGGCCCCGCCCACTGCGTACGCTTGGCTCCGCCTACTACGTAACCACGTGCGCTGCGTAGCCGCGCCCACAGAGCCCCTCCCTCCCTCGCGCGTGCGCTCTGAGGCAGTT